ATGTCCATCCTGGGCCTCCTGCAGTGCCACAACGATGCCACCCGAAGGTTGCAGGAACAGCAACCATATTCCACTTGGGAACCCTGCAGCCCAATGGTATCAATGTGGATTTCACAAGCTTCAAAATCTCCCCTCCCCCTACCGCATCCCAAAACCAGCCCAGCTTGTCCCTGCCTCCCTAACCTGTTCTTCCTCCCATCTATCCCCTCCTCCCACCTCAAGCCGCACCCCCATCTCCTACCTACTAACCTCATCCTGCCCCCGTGACCTGTCCGTCCTCCCTGGACTGACCTATCTCCTCCCTACCTCGCCACCTACACTCACCTTTACTGGCTCCATCCCCGCCTCTTTGACCTGTCTGTTTCCTCTCCACCTATCTTCTCCTCTATCCATCTTCTATCCGCCTCCCCCTCTCTCCCTACTTATTTCAGAACCCCCTTCCCCTCCCCCATTTCTGATGAAGGGTCTAGGTCCGAAACATCAGCCTTCCTGCTCCTGCAATGCTGCTTGGCCTGCTGTGTTCATCCAGCTCTGCACCTTGTTGTCTCAAAAAACTTTCATTCACTGCTTGGTCACTTAAGATTAAACAGCCAGCTGTTTAGAATTACTAAACTATTCACACAGCCTTACAAGTTTTAACACCCTTTTCAACTAGATAGCACAGCGCAACAAGAGATTTAGTTTCCTTTACTACCAACTGGAAAGCTGACCTCTTCCTGGGAGAGATTTGAATCATCTTCTGAAGATAATTTAGTGCCTCTGTCTTTCTGTCTCAAGGTATTTTTTGTGTCTATGCATTTGTGTAATGGCCAACTCTTCCCTCGTGTCATCCTATCTACTTTCCAACAGTAATGTCCTTGTCTTTTCTGTTTTAGGCCAAATCACATTTTTTCCACAACAACTTCTTGTTGGTAATGCTTCCAGGTTAAGGGTTGCCAGCTGACTGTGACCAGTATTTCTTCTTGCTCTTACAATTGTTACAAAATCCTAAAAGTCGTTGTTATTCTGCAGACACTTTAAAAGGTTGAAAACTTTCTTTATTGTACTGGTTTGCAGTGCCATCTCCAGGACTTCATTTATTCCATCTCAGTAACATCACTTGATGTCATCTATACCTTAGCTCATCTGCTGAAACCCTCACCCATGTCTTTGTTACCTCTCAATTCATCTAACCTAATACACTCTCAGCTAATCTCCAATGTTCTACTCTCCATAAACTTGAGGTCATTCTGAAACTTTGCTGACCATACCTTAACTTTGTAGTAAGTTCCATTCTGCTAGCACCTTGTGCTTGTGATGGCTCCAGGTCAGGCAAAGTCATGAGTTTAAAATTCTCATCCTTGTTTTCAAATACCTCTATGACCACGCATTTTCTTATTTTTGTAATCTCTGTGAATCCCACTGTCCATTTGTGCGCTTCCAACTCTGGTCTCTTCATGACATGTCCACCATTAGTGGCCATGCCTTCAGTTCCTTTTGTCCTAAGATCTGGAATTCCCTCTTTATATCTCTTCACCCCTGTTTCTCAGATTCTTCCATTGTGGCACTTTTAAAATCTAGCTCTTTTACCTATCGTTTGGTCATAGAAACATACAATTCAGAGGAGACCCTTTGGCCCATCAAGTCTGTTCCACCAGAAATACACAACTATCTACTCTAGGCACACTTTGCTGCACTAGGCACATAGCCTTGAATGTTATGACATTTCAAATGCTCATCCAAGTACATTTTAGAAGTTGTGAAGTTAATTGCCTCCACTACCTTCCCAGGCAGTGTATTTTCGACCTCTGCTACCCTCTGGGTGAAAAACATTTCCTCAAATCCCTGCTAAACATCCTCCCTTTCACTTCAAAAGTGTGCCCCGTTTTTCTTGACCCTTTGTCTCAGGGGAACAGCTGCTTTCTATTCACCCAAACCATACCTCTCATAATCTTATATACCTCTATCAAGTCTCCGCTTAACCTTCTCTGCTCAGACTAAAACAATGTGAGCCTATCCAGCCTCTCTCCATAGGTGAAATGCTCCATTCCAGGCATCATCCTGTGAATCTCCTCTGCATTGTCTCTAGTGAAATCCCAGTGTGGTGACCAGAACTGCACACAGTACTTCAGCTGTTACCTCACCCCAAGTTCTGTGCAGCTACAACATAACTTCCCTGCTCTTATAATCTATATTTATACTGATAAAGACAGGCGTCCCATATGCCTTCTTTGCTTCCCTATTAACCTGCTCCACCTGTGGACCAACGCTGTAAGACCCCTCTGTTCCTCTGAGTTTCCTAGTGTCCTGCCATTCATTGAGTATTCTCTTGTATCGTTGAGTTGAATGTCAGGAGTGGGAGAAGTCATTTTGACCTAATATTTCCTTTATGACTTAGAGTAACATTTGTTTTATGCTCCTTTGAAGTGTCTTGTGACGTTTCATTGTGATGAAGGTGCACTATAAGTTATTGTTTGTATACATGGCTTTGTGTTTTGCTTGGCCCTACCAAATAGCGTCACCCCTTTACGTGATTTGCATGGTTGCCCACAAACTACTTGTAACTGGATATGGTAGACAATTTTCTCATCTGTGGATTTGGTGTCTTTTGAAGGAAACACATTATGTGACTGGGAGTATATGCTATTCTTCAGATGGTGTCAAGAGAATCCTTAATGTTAACCAAGTAATGAAATAGACATTGAAGATATTTGTAACTGCCTCATTGAAAAAATGCCCACTTTGACAATATGGAATTCCCATTATAATGATGTGTCAGCCTAGACTAGACAAATAAATTGGGGTTGTTGAATGGGATTTCTATCCGCAATTGTCTGGCTCTTGAAAGAGCCAAAGTAAGTATAATAATATGGCTATTTTAGAATGGATGCTATCACGCTAATAAATTAAAAGGCTTGTTGCTCTTTTTGACTCCAAACTGTAGTAAGTTTCAAGACGCACATCAAATATAAACCCATCGAAACTATAAGTCATAGAATTATGCAGTGTAGAAAGAAGCCTCTTGGCCCATTGTGTCTTGTTAAAAAAAAACTTCTCTGGTTTGTGATTATGAACTGAAATGGCAAAAAAAAACTGTTTTAGAAAACAAAGATTGTGGAAAGGATGACTATACTCTTTAAAAACAGGTTACTAACACTCATCATAAGTGCCATATATGCTGCTGTTTAATCAAGCAGTAGGGAAGGCAAGAATCGGGGTGTGTACAAAGATACATCAGGGGTGGCTGATTATTTTGTGGAATGGAGTCCAATTTTCAATGACAACAGCCTTTTGCTTGCCAGTAACTGTGTGATTGGCACCCAAGATAAATGAACAATTTGTGGGTGTGACTGTTTGGTCAGAAGGCATTGGACCTCTGAAAAGGAAGGCGCTGGTCACTTCTCCACAGTGAAAAGAAAAGCACTTTGTGCCTGAAGAAAGACAGTTTATTTTCCCGCTTCAGTTGCTGTAAACTGTGGCTCCTAACTAAAAAAGGAAACAATTATATATTTATAAACCAGTCTTCCTGTGCCTCCTGCAAGCAAGTGAAAGTATTTGGAGAAGGAAGGTCAAGGTATGGTAAGCCAAAAGGAACATCTCAGTGAATCCTGTGGACAAGGACCATTGAGCTGCTTTCCCAGTCTTTTCGTCTGCTCATAACACCCGTTTTTCTGTCTTAGAGTAAGAATTCCTTTTATTATAAAGGCTTAGAATTTTGGCAGTAGAGTTATATATCAACAGTTCAGAATAGTTTATTTGTAGCTAGGATTTTTTTTGTAATAAATTCTCATTAAGTTAAGAAACCTAGTCTGTGCTTTCTGTCCACCTGGGTCTAAAACAGGTAAATTGGGGAATTTCTGTCATAATTTTTGTGAAGACTCTGGGAATATGGGGCTTGATTTCCAGCATGCTATCCTAATGAGGTGTAACTGTACTGGCTGTTTACTTGAGCTATTTAACTAATCCTACTCTCCAGCTGTTTCTCAATCGTGCTGTAATTTTTCCTCTGAGAATAAACAGTTGTAAATTAATCTAAATTATGACATCTAAGAAGCTTATAAAACCTTAGATGGACTTTGTATAATTTAGAATTGGTTGTTATTCTACATCAGAAATTTTGCTGTGAAGGTAAAGAATGCTCGTAATCTAGCTGAGATTTGAATGCACACTCAAAATGCACATGGTGATTAGTGGGAATAGAAGCTGATGGCAGTGGGCCTCAGCAGTGGACTCAGCACACCTTAGAAAACTAACCTCAGTGGTGTAAGGAACTTCAGAGACTTACTTTGCACTTACTATTTCAGTATTTTAAATTTAGAGGGAGCATAGTTTTCTTTTGGTTATTTACTGTCATTCAGACCAGCTCAGAATCCATTACTATCACTGCCTTTCAATGCTTTTTTTTAGATATAAAGTATGGCAGTTGCAGAATAAATTATACCACAATTACTCAGTGTAGATATTTTTAATCAACCTGTTCAAACATGCTATGACACACCTCTAGAGCAAGTGGGTCTTGAACCCAGGCCTCCTGGCCCAAACGTAGGAACACTGACTAATGCATGATTTATTATGGTACACTTATCTTAGCTATTGACTGTTTATTTATTTATGTTCTCAATATCTTTGGAGTTACTTCTTTTAAGTGTCTCTGTTTGTCGCATAAAGAAGAAAAGGATTAAATTACTAAGCATAATCAGTTAACTTTGGTGCTACCAATTTAGATCTTCAGCTTTTATGAGTTAACTACTGTGACAGAAGCCAACATATGGGTGATCTAATTGGAGCAGTTCTCTGCAAAGTAAAGGTGAATTATGAAATAAAAATTCAAATTCCTCTTTTAGGTATGAAATTGGTGCTTTCCTGAGGGGACATTGCAGCAAAATAAAATGATGTCATGACTGTGGTGTGTTGGTCTTTTATAGCATTCTTCCGATAACTGGTTTAAAAGATTGAAACCGCTTATGCACAGTAAGATTCCTTTGATTGATGGTGAAGAAAAATAATCTGTCTTCTTTCAGAACACTCGTGATCTACAGACTACGCTGAATATCCTCAAGATAATTAATGAACTGGTTTCAGTAGGTAAGTTTGAATAGAAAGGTTTTTTTTATTTAATTCTGAATTTAGAGGCAGTTTCTCCTGCCCCGATCCATCCTCCAGGATTCAACTCTTAGCTAAGGTTCTGAAAATTTGGAGGGAAGGAAGGAAAAGTCAAAAATAATTACTAAAATAAAGCTTCAAAAATTACTTGTGGTAGAGTTGTGAAATGTTCTTCTTTCCCATTACAGCAATAAGTTGCAGAGGAAGGTACTATTGGATCAGTCCATTAATGGTTACTTTAGACAGTGTTGTCAAGTACAATATTTGCTAGCCAGACAAATGGAGTCAATTGTATTTTTGATGCATTCAAAGAACTTGAGTAATCAAAACTTATGCTTAAGATATTGATATTCAAGTGGTTGTATACATCTGTAGTTTGAGATTTTTGTGCATTTGTCAGCAAAATGGTATGAAAAAGTACAGGATTGGAAAGAGGTTTTTTGCTTGTGTGTTCTTTGCTTTTATGGCTACTGTTTGATGATGATCTGTTAAAATGGCCCGTAAGACAAGTAAAAATTTCAAACTCAGCCCTATTGAAACACCAGAAATATTTTATAAGGAGGGCAGCTGTCAGGTCAACCAGCTGCTCCAGGCCAGTAGAAGAAGGCAAGCCTAATCAATAATCAGTGACTGTTGGGTACATCACAGCAAAGGTCAAGCAGCATCCAGCTGTCTTCTCCAGGGTGTGTGGCAGACTGTCTAATGTGTCTTGTTCTATTAGTCAGTATTCTCAGTAATCACTGTGACAGTTAACGTATTGCAGTAATTGCTGGCCAGAAGTCTACAAGCTGCACTAACATGTGCTGTGTCCACTAAGTTTATCCCAGAATTCCAAACTTTGGTGAAAGAAAATTACTAAAATTTAGCTGTGAATGATGGTACATATTTATGAGGTGTTTTTTTCAAGGAATAGTGCATGTGGTTAAAATTTATTGGCCACGGAAATGACTTGAGGCAATTTTTGATGGATAGCAAGAAACCGTTACAAAACATGATTTAAGGTTGAATGAAACCTATGTTTAGATATTCAGTTTCCCTCATCTCATCATTGGGTAGTGCTGGGTGGAAATTTAGTTGAAATAAAATGAAATGGGTGACCACGAATAATGAGAATGGGGCATTAAACATAACAACATCTTCAATAATTCTCATTATTAAAAGCCACAAATGAACTTCCTATTATTACTGAATACAAGGTTCCATACATATATCCTTTCTTGCAGTTTTTTCAACGTTTGCTAGATTCGTAGTTAAAAATTCATAAATACAAAATTTATTTGTCATAATATAATTGTATTTGACTATAGTTTTAGTCAGTTTTCTTAAGTTTTATTGCAGTATTTATGCTTTATCCTAACTTGCTCATCTACCCATTAAGTGTAAGTAACTTTCTTGTAAGTATAGAAATAAGCACTTTGATATCAAAGGTAAAATATTATTGCAGCTTCTATGTCTTTTTACTTGTTCTGTCACCTATGGAGTTATTTAAAACATTTGAAGTTCGTGAACTCTTCAGAATCATCATATCACAGGAACTTGTCACCTGATGATTGAAAACAGTTGATCCATAACTAGATAATCTAATTGCTGGAAACTTTGTTAATGCAGTTTTTTTTTTAAAATCCACAAATGAACAAGAAACTTTACTCACTTAAAATAAAACTTTTGCTAATCTCCCACCTTCAATGTGCACTGAAGGTGGTGTGAACTTTTTAATGCAAAGCAATTCCTTTTTTATATTAGGAGTAATCTTGATATTTTTAAGCAGAGCCAGCTTCGATTTTCTTTACTATAAAGTAATTTGTAAGATCAGGCCTCTCTTGCTGCATGGCTGCTCCTCCGTGTAATTGCTGGCAAGTGCATTGTATCCTACAGTAGTTCCTCTGGAAGTAATAGAGCCCATGACAAGACCAGCTAATGAGCAGTTCTGATAAAATATATTGGAAATGTAAATGATGCATGCAGTGCATAAATGACTGACTTTCTACAGTTTTCAACAAGCTTTCATCTCAGAATAGGCATCACAGAACAATAAAAACAGAAGATGCAGAAATGTACAAAGCATGCCTGTAAGTAAATTGAAAGATAACTGAAACATCAATGCTTTTTACTTGGTGTTGTAGGATAATCAACTCTTCGGATAGGATTGACATATCAAAATTGATAGTGTTATTTCAAAGCTTTATCTTTTTTGATTGACAGAATTGGCATTTATGCATAAATTAAATATTTTTAATATGGTACCAGTTATATTGCCATCATATATTGGAGTAGCTGTATGAAGTAATGCTGGTTTTAGTTTTAGTTCAGTTCTAGGTCAACCCAATTTAATCACACCCTTCATTAAAATTGGCAATTATCTACAGACTTGTTCTTCTAAAACTTAAAGATTATTGTTAGAGCAGAAATGTTCAGCTATTACACTCTCATTTATGTGGTAATTAATCTGATGTTGTGAAAAGTGCTTTGGGAGTATAATTTGATTTGGTATATTCTTTGGAAACCAAGTGGCATCACAATTTTGCAAGTTGCAATGCCACAAGGAGCCCCTTCTTCCCAGTTTATGATCGAGCTTACTACCTCTGCTGTTGTTTTTTCAGAAGATCACAACTTGATTTCTCAAATCTTTCATTGAAAATGTTTTGTGAAAACTGCCTCTTGTCAATTTACAGGTTAGCAAAAGTTAGCGAACCAACCTCAAAAGTTAGCGAGCTAATGATTTAAACATGGCTATTTAAATAGGCTTGTCCAGGTTTCTCTGTTTATTTTTCAGGTTACTTTGGAGCCTTAGGTATTAGGAGCATGCAGTGGTCTTCCAGAGAGTATTGTCCTTTTCAGGACAAGCCAATGAAAGTACAGTTATGTGATCTAGGTTGTACTGTAATGCCAGCAACCAAAGTAATGTTCCTTAGGTACCCGAATGACCAGTAAAGTAGAGTAGTAAAATACAGGATATTTAGGCATATACCAGACCTTTAGATATTTTCTACTTAACCTGTTCAGAGATGCTGTTAAATACCTCTGGAGCAGGTGGTACTTTTATCTGGGCCCTCCTGATGTGGAGGTAGGAATACTACCACTATGCCGCAAGACCCCTCAAAATCAGTATGGCCACTTGTTCATTGAAACCGTTTGGCAGTGGTGTGATTTGAGCCCATGCTTCCGAAGAGGCTGGACCTTAATCCAGTGCCTGAGACCGCTTGACCACACTATCAGAAATAAAATTCCGCCCCTGTCCCAGGGACATCAGCTTGACCCTCTGGGTTACTGCTGACATCATCATTGCTACATACTTAACATCCAGAGAGTATACCTTGATCCAACCAAAATTGATCCAACCAAAACATGTTCTGGATTGAAATAGTTAAAGTATCCCTATGAATGCATCATCTTGACTTGAGCTGTGGGCCCTGAGAAAGTAACAGCACAAAAGGGAGGAGAAGCACTGTGATCGAATGTTGAGACTGAATAGGATAAGAAAGAAATTGCAAAGTGAGGGTACAGGGTAAGAGGTCATTCTAATTTACTTTATGGTTGATTTATTTCAGTTAATACTAGATCAATTAATTAGCATAAAACTCTCAAGCTATATTGATAATTTCTCATGTAATTATCATTTAATGTTCATTTAGTCAGCTCTAGGGATAACATTAATGTGACAGTAACATTAAAGGATTCTGAATATTTCAGTAAATTCAAATCAAAAGTGTTTAGATAGGTAAAAACATTTATGGTAACTTCCTATCAACTGATGCCAGCACGGAGGAGGCAGCTAATTGGTAAGTAGCTGGTGAATGTTTATTTATTCATGTCTTAAGTTTATGACTGTTGAGTCCCTCAAGAATCCTTTAAGTTTCAGTGAGATCACCTCTCATTTCTTCTAAAGTCCAGTGAGTTGGGTGCCAGCTTGTTTTGCTTTTACTCATAAGACAAGCCCTTCATATCAAGGATTATCCTAGTGAATCTTCTCTGAACTGCTTCCAATGAGATGATATCTTTCCTTAAGGGGATCAAAACTGCATCAGATGCTACAAACCAGATGGAACTGTATTGACACCTGGTTCTTTTGGATGAGGGCTGAAAGCAGCAGACCATCATGGACAGTAAAATAGTCATTTGTTATGATACCAAAATCTGGTTTGCTTTGTTGTGGGAACTGAAGACTCTGCTTGTTTTGTTTGTGTTCCATAAAAGCTAATGTTTGGAATTATCAGATTGTTTTCCTGTAAGTGATGTTCCCCTGCTGGACAATGGTAAGATGCAGGTCTCCAGTGTGTTTTTTTGGGGGCAGGGTAGTGTTGACCAAGTGTTCAGAGGAATGTAACTAGGACAAGTAAACTATGTGGTGTGGTGGTTAAACAGCAACTGGATTGAAATAATGGGCTTGTATATGTGTTAGCATGCTGGCTGTATGCTGTGGTTGCTGTGTTATGATGTTGCCAGCAAAGGGCAATGCTGAATTGCCAGTGCTTGTCTGGGTGTACAATGGCCTTTCAAATTTGGCATGGATACGAGGGATGCCAATCTTTTGGTGAATATTTGCTGAGTAGCAGGTTGTTCTGAGAATGGCGCATGGTAAGATGAGGCCAGAATTGGCTATGATGGACACATATGGTCAAGGTAGGTAGTTAATGAGGTGAATTTGGTGAAAGAAGTGAGAACAAAAATCTGGCTTGGCCACACTGCGGAAATCCCTTCAAAAGGCTTGACACACCTGGACTTAGCCAGGAAAACATAAGGTGTTCTGACCTATGATCAGACCTTGCAGAGAAGAAGCCCAGGAGTGTAAGCTGTAGTTATTTATATCTATTGGATAAATGCCTCAAGGTTACTTCCTAATTTGAATTCCAGTTGGCAGGATGTCCAAGTTTTTTTACAAGCACCAATTCTCACATGTTTACCAAGGCCCTCCTGTATAGACATGACTGCATCACACAACATTGCCTTGTTTTTTGACAAATCTGTCCTGATCTGTAGTTTAACGCTCCATCATAGTAGCCTACTCATTTGAGTGCTATTCTAAGAATTTGAATACCAGCATTTACTTCATTTAGATCAATGTTTTCTTTCACAAAATATAAATTGTACAGTTCGAATGGAACATCCTAGGAGTTATTTGATGATTGAAAATTGCAGATCAAAGAGTATATTTGTCTGTGCCATTTTGTGTTAAGAAGAATGGACTATTTACATTTTGATGTTCAACCAGATAAGTTGGGAGAAGTGAGATAACAAGATGTAGAGCTGGATGAACACAGCAGGCCAAGCAGCATCAGAGGAGCAGGAAGGCTGACGTTT